ACCAATGCCATCAAATTGTATCACAAAACATCACCAGGTGAGACTATAATCTACTATCATTTTACCAGGCTTTACCCCATGTCAATGAGACCAAGACATACCACCTTGGTAACCCAAAAATGATTTGTGAGCATTTTGGTTTTATTAAATTTACTTTGGCCATGCTAGGGTAAAAATCTACCTCCCCAAGGGATTTATTTTTTACAGTTTTACCTGTGAGCATGAAACTCATATTTCCTCTATATGTATGCACTGAATTCCCAGTTGGTGCTGTTTAAATACAGCAATGAGGAACATTCTGTAACAGGTATGTGGTGCACCATGGAAAAAGAGTTAGCTATACAAAGGGTTATAGACTAGCTAAAGGTGCCCATACACCTGCCGATTATCGTACGTTAATCGCGGGTGATCCCGCGATCGTACTATAATCTGCAGGTGTATGGAAGGCGTGCGACCGTTTCTACTGTACGGTCGCACGTCTGTTGTCTGCCGAGCAGGCTTGAAAACCCGCCGAGAATCGTACGGGTTAGTGGCACACTGCCCGCTCAGCATTGGAATCATCGGAAGCTCTCCCCTCAGCGGGGTGGGCTTCCCATGATCGCAAATACGATCTACCTGTCCAAGATGGGCAGATCGTACGAGCTTTTAATTACCTTACAACCATTGCAGGATGAAAGTCTTTGCTATCTGCAGGTTTCTATTTGTTTAGTATTCTGACGGCTGCTGCTGTCAGAATACTAAAAATAAACACCAAAAAAACAGCATAGGAATGCATAGCTAGATTGCCATTAGCTATTTCAATTTGCAATATCCAATAGCAAACTGGCTATTGCACCCGTCCTCTGCTGCTGTCAATCACTAGAAGAGGACCTGATGGAGAACTTCAGGCCCCCCTCTGCTATTGCAAAGTGAAATAGCCAATAGGAATCTTGCTATGCATTCCTATGCTGGTTTTTGTTTATTTTTCTGACTGACAGCGGCCGGCAGAACCGATGCCAGAAAAAAAAAACACAGAGCAGGGAAAGGTTTACTCTGCTCGATCGAACAGAGTAAACCTTTCCGGGAAAAAGTGTTTTTCACACGGGCGGCCGGGAGCCGCTACCCAATAGTGGGAGACACCCGGAGCATCTGGGAGAGTTGGGATGTCTGCTCTAATTAATCCTGTTTGTAACACGCTGGCAGATTTCATCATCAATTGTAAACTAAATTGGAACCCTTACAGTCCTAATAAAGTGTTAATGACTTAAAAGCATTGTATTGTAATGAGAAGCTCAGTCTTAAGCTGGCCATACACCTTACAATTATCTGCAGATTTTCTCTAGTCAGATGGAAAAAGTGCAACAGATTCCTCCATCTACGCTAAACTGTGTGGCTGGAGGAATCTCCCACTGGGCCAAGCTTCAGTATCTTGCTAGTGGGCCCCGGTGACTCTCAAAATACCTGAACAATGCCTGCATCCAATCAGATTGTTCAGGTATTTTGAGAGCCAGCGGGGCAGACTAACAAGATACTGAAGCTTGGCCCAGTGGGAGATTCCTCCAGCCACACAGTTTAGCGTGGATGGAGGAATCTGTTGCACTTTTTCCATCTGACCATAGAAAATCTGCAGATAATTGTAAGGTGTATGGCCAGCTTAAAAGTGCAAATAGAGAATCAAGCTGAGGAACAAATTGCACACAGTAGCTAGGATTCAGTACAAAGGCCTTCATCAAAGAAACATCTAAAACAGGGGTGGGCTGCTATGTCCTTCCAGCTGTTGTGGAACTACTAGTCCCATGAGGTATTGCAAGACTCACATTTACAGGCATGACTCGCAGAGGCATGTTGGGATTTGGAAAGCACAGCTCAGGGGCCGGAGTTGATCTAAAACAGGGGTGTCCATTAGATAGATCGTGATCTACCAGTAGCTCTCAAAGCTGATGCTGGTAGATCACGAAGTGTGTGAATGGCGGCCCCTTTATTCCATTTTGGTATATGTATTTAGCTGTGCACACATGATTACCTATTAGCCTGAGTCTGCTGAGCCAAGCTCCCTGACACCTTTCTGGTGGATACTGGTGGTTGAAGTGCTATGTATTACATCAAAGAATATTAGTTTACACAGCCTGTTGCACTGCACTGTTTGCAAAATACAGCAAGGTGAGCCAGGAGAGAAAGCGGGGAGAGACAAGACAGGAAAGAGAGCGAAGAGAGACAGCCAGGAGAGAAAACGAAGAATCACAGCCAGGAGAGAGAGCGAGGAAAGACAGCCAGGAGGATGAGCAAGGAGAGACAGCCAAGAGAGTGAAGAGAGACAGCCAGGAGAGAAAACAAAGAATGACAGTCAGGAGAGAGAGCGAGGAAAGACAGCCAGGAGGATGAGCAAGGAGAGACAGCCAAGAGAGTGAAGAGAGACAGCCAGGAGAGAAAACAAAGAATGACAGTCAGGAGAGAGAGCGAGGAAAGACAGCCAGGAGGATGAGCAAGGAGAGACAGCCAAGAGAGTGAAGAGAGACAGCCAGGAGAGAAAACAAAGAATGACAGTCAGGAGAGAGAGCGAGGAAAGACAGCCAGGAGGATGAGCAAGGAGAGACAGCCAAGAGAGTGAAGAGAGACAGCCAGGAGAGAAAACAAAGAATGACAGTCAGGAGAGAGAGCGAGGAAAGACAGCCAGGAGGATGAGCAAGGAGAGACAGCCAGGAGGATGAGCAAGGAGAGACAGCCAGGAGGATGAGCAAGGAGAGACAGCCAGGAGGATGAGCAAGGAGAGACAGCCAGGAGGATGAGCAAGGAGAGACAGCCAGGAGGATGAGCAAGGAGAGACAGCCAGGAGGATGAGCAAGGAGAGACAGCCAGGAGGATGAGCAAGGAGAGACAGCCAGGAGGATGAGCAAGGAGAGACAGCCAGGAGGATGAGCAAGGAGAGACAGCCAGGAGGATGAGCAAGGAGAGACAGCCAGGAGGATGAGCAAGGAGAGACAGCCAGGAGGATGAGCAAGGAGAGACAGCCAGGAGGATGAGCAAGGAGAGACAGCCAGGAGGATGAGCAAGGAGAGACAGCCAGGAGGATGAGCAAGGAGAGACAGCCAGGAGGATGAGCAAGGAGAGACAGCCAGGAGGATGAGCAAGGAGAGACAGCCAGGAGGATGAGCAAGGAGAGACAGCCAGGAGGATGAGCAAGGAGAGACAGCCAGGAGGATGAGCAAGGAGAGACAGCCAGGAGGATGAGCAAGGAGAGACAGCCAGGAGGATGAGCAAGGAGAGACAGCCAGGAGGATGAGCAAGGAGAGACAGCCAGGAGGATGAGCAAGGAGAGACAGCCAGGAGGATGAGCAAGGAGAGACAGCCAGGAGGATGAGCAAGGAGAGACAGCCAGGAGGATGAGCAAGGAGAGACAGCCAGGAGGATGAGCAAGGAGAGACAGCCAGGAGGATGAGCAAGGAGAGACAGCCAGGAGGATGAGCAAGGAGAGACAGCCAGGAGGATGAGCAAGGAGAGACAGCCAGGAGGATGAGCAAGGAGAGACAGCCAGGAGGATGAGCAAGGAGAGACAGCCAAGAGAGTGAAGAGAGACAGCCAGGAGAGAAAACAAAGAATGACAGTCAGGAGAGTGAGCGAGGAAAGACAGCCAGGAGGATGAGCAAGGAGAGACAGCCAAGAGAGTGAAGAGAGACAGCCAGGAGAGAAAACAAAGAATGACAGTCAGGAGAGAGAGCGAGGAAAGACAGCCAGGAGGATGAGCAAGGAGAGACAGCCAAGAGAGTGAAGAGAGACAGCCAGGAGAGAAAACAAAGAATGACAGTCAGGAGAGAGAGCGAGGAAAGACAGCCAGGAGGATGAGCAAGGAGAGACAGCCAAGAGAGTGAAGAGAGACAGCCAGGAGAGAAAACAAAGAATGACAGTCAGGAGAGAGAGCGAGGAAAGACAGCCAGGAGGATGAGCAAGGAGAGACAGCCAAGAGAGTGAAGAGAGACAGCCAGGAGAGAAAACAAAGAATGACAGTCAGGAGAGAGAGCGAGGAAAGACAGCCAGGAGGATGAGCAAGGAGAGACAGCCAAGAGAGTGAAGAGAGACAGCCAGGAGAGAAAACAAAGAATGACAGTCAGGAGAGAGAGCGAGGAAAGACAGCCAGGAGGATGAGCAAGGAGAGACAGCCAGGAGGATGAGCAAGGAGAGACAGCCAGGAGGATGAGCAAGGAGAGACAGCCAGGAGGATGAGCAAGGAGAGACAGCCAGGAGGATGAGCAAGGAGAGACAGCCAGGAGGATGAGCAAGGAGAGACAGCCAGGAGAATGAGCAAGGAGAGACAGCCAGGAGAATGAGCAAGGAGAGACAGCCAGGAGATAGAGGAGAGACAGCCAGGAGAGAGAGCGAGGGAGTTTTTTTCTTTCGTTGGTAGATCTCATGTAGCTCGTCATTTGAAAAGTAGATCTTAACACAAAAAATTGTGGGCACCCCTGGTCTAAAAGGTAAGAAATATATATTTTTTTAAATGACTTTTGTGTATGCTGTGTGAATGGGAACACATAACATACACAGTGGGGCGTTCTCAAATTTGACTGCAAAAATGGAAACTATGTTGCCTAATATTCAGCACAACTGAGGCTCACACAATTTTGTTCCCACACCACCTTGCAACCACCTCATATTTTCCCTACCTAACCAGGCTCTTTCTAAAGTTCAAGTTTGGGAAGCATATTTATATCTTCCCATATTTTTTCAAGCAATCGCCATATTATCGGTGCCAGCTGAAATACTCTGATAGGCCATTGGTCTCCAGAGTCATGGCGCTGGCCCTCCTAGCCCGGGGACACAGTAGTCACATGTAATGTGCACGACACCGGAAGTGCTCGCTACGCACAGTGCGTTCCACTAGTACCAGTTCATCTCTGGTTTCTGTTTCCGGTCTGGAGCCCGCGCTTGCCTTTGCAGCTGGAAGCCCGAGTGTGTGTTCGGGTCAGACGATTGCACGTTGGTTGGAACGCGAACAGCGCAAACCTGGCGTCCCCCAGCAACTCTCCCAGGGCTCACCGCCAGCCTGCCGACTCCATGTCGCGCCTATCGAGCTTACCGCGGGTCTATATCGGGCGCCTCAGTCACAGGGCCCGAGAGAGAGATGTGGAGCGTTTCTTCAAGGGCTTTGGGAAGATCGTAGAGGTGGATCTGAAGAACGGGTGAGTGACGGTGGATGAATGTGCGGGTATAGACTGTCCCCATGCCGCTCCAAAGTTGTCCGATCGGTAGGAGGAGGCGCACAGTCTAATGGAGCAGGGCGGACAATAAAAAGGGTCGCACTTTGTCCTGTAATGGCGAATCCTAGGGTTAGATTTTACCTGTAACAGACGTGTATGTGGCCCCTGCACCATCGCACCCTCTCTCACCTCTTCCTACTATAGTTACAATCACTGAGATCGTGACCCTTTATAGCCAGTTGAAATCCTTGTTTTGAAAAAAGGAGCATGGTGGCTTTCTATGGGACAAAACATGTCCTTCTTAACGTATTTCTAAAAGAAAAACTTTATTTTTCGATTTGGATAAGAGTGCTGAGAGGGTTAGCACCTCTGCATGGTTTTATCACTGTCCCCCACTCTCTAATTGTCCTGATCATCAATGTCACCGTAAATAAAAGGGAATCTTTCGATTTGAGCTGCGACAGAGCAGAAATAGAGGGGGAATAAATCCCAGTGACCTCCACAGGACAGGAAGAGGAGGGAAATCTCCCTAATGAAACAGCAAAGGAAAACCTGATGACACTAGTAACCCTTGGCTGTGCTATTTATAATGAAACCTAATGTGTTCCCTTTAGACAACAATACTGACCTAGAGGTACTTCACAATTTTATCCCTTTAAAGTGACTTTTGCTTAAAAAAAAAATTCCCTGCAAAAGAAGAGATCCGCAACCTTTTCCACATTAAGTGTTATGTGCACAAGCAGGGTGCCAGTGAATAATATTGTGTTGTAGTCTTTGTTTTCACTTTTTGTACTGCTAATTGCTGCTGTCATTAAATCTGTTAATTATGAGTTCAGTTTCCCATTAGCAGTACAAAAAGCACAATAGGGGCCAAAATGAACCACACAAAACACATCCAGCCCCAGCGTGTACTTCAGACGTCCAAAAAGAACACTCGTAAGAGCTCAAATCAGCCCTTCGCTTCATGCACCTTTGGGCCTCAGAAGATCAGTCCCCCC